AATTTACATCTTTTTCCATGTACATTCCTCTCTTACAACATTTTTAAATATTCACTTATAGAAATATAAAAAAAATTATAAGTTTTGAAATAAATCGAATAAGTGCATCAAACTTGCGAAGTCTCAGACTGTGACAAAAAGTGCAATGACTACCGATTATACAGAAACCTCACGCAAAATTTCAAAGATTAAGAACATTATGGCTCAAAAATTTCCTGTAATCCGTTAGTATTTCTATGAGAACATAAAAAGTAAGCCTGGAAATGAGGAGTGAACATCATCAACTGTAATAGGTTAGTCACTAGAGATCTTGAAGTTTTGAATAATTTGAACTATTTTAGGGAACAACATAGAACTATCATGTATAGAAAAACTAAAAGTAGCATTAAAAAGAAACTTTAATCATCAGCCACAAATATTACTGCGCATTTTTTAGAAGTTGAAGAAGCAAACCATCCAACTGCCATAAGTCGAAAAAAGCTATTTCATGGTGCTTTTCCACAAACTGTTGACCCACAGCCTAAAATCGATGTTCTGTAAATTTCAACCTTCATCAGACATTCTGTAGTTATCACCACTCAGAAGTCCACTCAGATAATGTCAAAAGGTTTCTTTGCCTCTCATTTAAAAAGACTCAGACGTCCCAATACGAAGGATTTCATCTGTTAAGCAGACGGTGTTTAGGTCGTATTTCATGACTTTAACATTACCATGAAAAGAAAACTGCGGAATACAATGACTTTTTACAAGACTTCTAACAACAGCACTTATGCATCCTTAAAAAACAAGTTTTTTTGGCATTAAACGTTAGCTGTCTCAGTGCTTAATGAATATTTCAGAAACCCAAAATATGGACTGATCATTGCTTGACTGACTCACGGTAGGTGAGGCTACTGCTATCAAAAATGCTGTTTCTGAAAAACAATTTACATAAAATGAATACCAAGAGAGCAGACATTGTCAAAGAAGCAACTAATAAAGTAACTTACAATTATATTTGACAGAAGTAAAATTAAATTTCCAAAACGTTCGGCAATTTTGGCACTGATATCGACATAATATTGATGCAGCGTTCGGCACAATGCATTCAACATTCCATGGAGAACCACCTTTGTCTCGTTGCTTACTTCAGCGAGGCCTGAAACAATACTTGAAAGCGACACAGTGACATGTGTTTTTAACAATAAAAAAAATTTAAACTGGATGTAAGAATAAATTCATAGTTGATTTATAGATTACTTGACTGCAGTGAGATAAAAGCTTTCAATCCAACAAACTCTTCAAAGCTGACTCTTGTTGTAACCATTGGAACTACTAATTCATCAAGCATCATACCCATAAGCGGCTTGTAAATTCTGAAAAATCAGAAGTATTCTACGTCATTATATAACCACAGATATTCTACACCACCGTAGAACCAACAAAAAGTTCGTTACTTTAAATTTGTTTTACAGGAAGTACCTGTAAAAAATTTAACCTTTTTTTAGTTTCTCCAGAAATCTCTTGCTCATCCTCCCAGCCCTCTTCAGAAGTTTTACTTGATGAAACGTATTGTCCATTATGCATAACGAATCGATCTGGGTAACCAATTTGTACAGTTATATAGCAAGGGTCTAATATTGTATGATACAAAACACAGTTTCTTAAAATTGCTATCTGAAATAGGTATATAAACTTTTTCTAAACAAAATTTAATCGGAAGCCTCACAACAGCCTGAAGAAGAAGCTGAAGCTGAAGTTGACCGACAGTAAAGCATACGCATTCTTTGTTGTGAGTTTCTAAAACTTCATCACTTTTGTTATTCAAAAAGACTTTCTTGAACAGTGAAATTCTGCAGATTAAATGTTGTTTTGTTCAGTCTACATTCTTGAGCTTCCAACTAATCGTTTGAGATATATTTTTTAAAGCGTATAAGTTTAGAGAATAGGCACCGCAACCGACACATATGGAATCCAGCCTTAAGTACTTTAAACCAAAGTCTGACAAGGCAAGTAACTAACAATAATAACAAGTGGCTTCTTCTAAGCCCTATTGAGTGCAGCAACTAAAAAAAAGTCAAGAAAGGCTAACCCGATCTATGTTACTAAAACCGTCATAACCGGGCCAAGACCGTAACCATTCGTAGATTAGCAAAATGTGAGTTCTAAGGGATTTTCGAAAGTGGCGAAACCTTAAGGGTCGAATTTCTTCCCAAGTGAAAGGCTAAAAATCTTAGTAGAATGTAGAAACAACTTCATTGAATATCTAAAGCTTGCGTTCCAAGAAACTGTTTTTACGCTGCAGATATATCAAAGACTTTATCTTACACAGGTTCTGTTTAAGCCTAGCAGTATTCCAACGGGTCTTTCACAAAACATAATTCGTCTGCGTTCCCCAATTTTCATCTCTTCATTGATTAGGTGATTTAAAGCCTGCAAAAATCAAATATGAATTATACTGAAAAAAATAAGGTTTTATAAATTATTTTGGTTGTCAAGCTATGAGAGCGTAAACGCATTTACACATAATTAGCAAAACTGAAAGATGAAATAACGGTTATTTACATCAAACTCAAGGTGAGATTCTTTACTGGCAGTGCGACTAGATCCAGCAAAACCTAACAGGTTGGTAAACATTGGCGGTGCAGAACAAGTTTGCCTATTGCTAGGCTCTTGAGTTTCTTAAATAACACGATTGTTAAGTATTTTAGAAATTTTATTTTTAACTAGTGTCTAATCAAAGATAATAAAAAAATTTTTTACAATTTCAAGAAACTAAGACGCTGGCAAAGAAAAAAAAAAAGAAGAAACAAACTCGGTTTCTTAATCTCAATCTCCGTCAATTGCTGTCGCTGTTCCCTTAAGAGAAGCTCAAGAAGACCGGTCGAAGACACTGGTGGCTCACATTTCTACAGATAGAGTAGGATAATTTGGAGAGAAAAGTGATGCTAAACTATTCAAGAAATCCTCCTAAACATTTTCATAACCTTGTATGCTAAATAATTTGTCAAAGAAAGGAGAACAAATACTAGAAAAAGGAGCATTAAAGCTTATAAATTCTACCGTGCCTCTGGAATATCCAAAAGAAAAAAGACATGACTAGAGAAAGAATCACCTTATCAGCTTTATTTTGCCCTTTTTCAAAAACTCTTACTAACCGACGTATTGCAAACTTCCTGTTACGTTTTAAGCCAGACACTGTGCAGAAGGCTCTTCGTTTCTGCAGTTCCGATTTTTTTGGCTGAACAGCTACAAGAAAATAATCGAAAATTTCACAGAAAAATCTTTAATACGCTACATTTTACTCTTCTATTACGGCAGAAAAAGAAAAGCAAATCGTTAACAACCTACATGCCGGTTTCATTCCAGCAGCTAAACATGCCTTATAACGACATGCGCGACACGTTTGGGTTGCTATAAATGAGTGGTAAACTTATGCGAAGAATGTCTACTGCTATAGAGCATAAGATTACGTTTTGTAAAACAATTGCCCAAAATCTGAATCTAGACATAAAATGAAAACGTATTGGATGAAAAAAGTTTAAATAAAATTTCACTAACAATAGTGAAGGCTACAGTTGTTGTTGCCAGTTGTGCATTTAAATTGTTTCCGTAATGCTACGGTACGTCTGAAGAAAGCTGCACAGGCGCTGCAGGATTGTGCACCAAAATGGTAACCAGTTGCCTGTGCTTTACAAATATGACAACCATATTCATCAATTGCATCTGCAATTTGTGGTATATAGAATAAGCTCTAAATGTATATGAATGTCTGTAGTGTCCGGTAGCCAATATTCATATTCAAATATGTCTAAATTTGAAAAACAATATCTCAAAAATAACATTTTGAAAAAAATGATGCACTTCTATCACTTATTCTTATGATATATATAGCTTTGTAAAATTAACTGAAAAAACTAATTTAGTCTATAATTAAAAAATACTACAGATATTACAGATACTTGTCTTTGTTTAATCAGTTTAACAGCTTGTTGCCAGAAATTTATTATTACATACAATCAATTATGATCAAAGTAAAATTGTTTAATATGTTAGCTAAACAGATAAACAGAATGACCTGATAATTTACTCAAACTTTAATTTCTTAATAATACTATTATATAAAATGTAAACACATATTTGACTTCAGAAAACATATGATTAAATAAAGTTACCGTTTGGTTGATAGCAGCCTGCGGAAAAAAGCATCGATGATAACCAATTTCAAGAAGCAATTTCAAGACTTGCTGCACTGCAGTAGTTGTAAAAGCGCACAATAAACGACAGGTTTCTGGCATAAACATATATCGCTTACCTGTTTCGTGATAAGAAAGCACAGATGACGACAACAGTTTATACCTATCAAGAATGTACTGTTTTCTTTTTTAAACCCCATCTACATATCAGCAATTTTGAATCGCACTTTATTTGCAGACTATGTTTTAATAGCTTTAGTCAGACGACCTTTTCACATGCATATTGTCTTTCAAACACAGTTGTCTTTGAAGTAATCAAAAGAATAACCACAAGAAGATAGCACTCTGAATAAGTTGCTAATAATTTAGCTGAGATATTAATGTATACGTCTGAATAATTTCTGGCTCAAATCTTCCTAAAATTCAATTTACTGCAGGCAAAAAAAACTTTATTTTGACCTTTTTATTTGAAAAATTTTAGTTGTGATTTTTGAGAAAATACAAAAGATTTTACTGATAACACTTATCTTTGAAAAAGAAAAAAAAAGAAGAGAAGATGATTTATCTTTTTGTGGAATTTTTTTACATTTTCTTCTCGTCGTTCTACAAAGTTTTTGAATCATTGAATTAATTGAGGTTAACGGTTTGTTCAAATAAAGAAATACCTCTTAATCTTTTATATTCAACTCGTTAAACAGTTTTTGCTGTGCAACATAAAACCCAACACAGATGCCATTTATAAGCTGTCAAAGCTGCAAAATAGTGAAATAAGTGATTCAACATACAGATCAAAATTTTTAACAGTTACGTTACAGAATATTAAATCAAAAAATTAACATTAATTCTTGAAAGTTACTTTTAGCTGCTTTTTTAGTTTTGCTTCTTGATATGTTTTTTTTCTAAAAATGATTTTATTATAATGAATAGCTGAAGAAGAAAGTTCTTTGTTATGAAAAGACAATAAGACTAAAATAATTAAGGTGTATTTAAACAATAAAATTTGCCCTCTTAACAGTCTTAACGATTTTTGTTGTTTCAACAAAACGATAAGTTAGAATTTTTGAGTATCTGTTAAAAAATTTTTATCCTTTTTATTGACTGAGTGTAAAATTGAAGGCTTTAATTGTTACAATTACAATTTACCGTTTTCAAGCGAGGCAGATAGAATATTTTAAAAGTAAACAGATTGCATAAATTCTAATCGTTTATTTCATAAAAAATTATTTCACGCAACAAAAAACTTGAGGTTTTTTTTGTATTTGCACATCTGCAGCTTCATTTATTATATCAAATAGAATAATGAAAAGTTTCTGAAATTGTTTGACGAAAACATATCCAAATTAAATTATTTTTGTTGAGTATGAGGAAAAATTTTTCATCTATTTTTTGTGTTTTACTTATTTTTAACTGTAAACGATTAATCTAACACTAAAATCTGGCAGTTACCTCAGACGCAGAAACAGTATTCTTCACGTAACTGAGATCTCACTAGCGTAGCATCGCATTCTAGACTTTTTTGATGTCAGAAGATAGAATACAGCATTTCTCTAAGATTTTGTACAGCTTTTTTTTTCTTCACTTTGTTTACTTTTAATGTACTTTTTGCAGTTATTTGGTAAATTGTTCAAATATTCAAATTTTATTTTTATAAATAACAGTGCCAATAAAACATACTGTCTCTTGTTGTTGCTGTTTTTGAATAAATTATAAAAAAAAAAATTATTTGAATATAGATATTCTTCTTACTTTCTTTATTCTGCGACCAGACTAAAATGAAAAATGGATCGATGATTTGCATATAGAAAATGTTGATAATCTTTCTAATTCTTCAGGTACAAACAGATAAGCATTTGGACCACTATCTGCTTGAATAATGTTGTTTTATAGTTTTATCGCCTAAAACGTAGTTTGTAAATGAGCTTAAACTACAGAAAGCAGACGTTGTTCGGTTGCTTGACCAAATTATTTAAAATAATGAAGATAAGTTGCGTTTTTGAAACGAAAGTGTGGAGAGGAGAAACTGTGAATGTTAAAATATTACATTTTTGTATTTAGCAATAACTGAAGCTCAATTATTATGCATATATAAATCGCAATAAAAATTAATAGATAATTGTACATATATTAATATATAAATATATTTATTTAGTGGTTTCTGCAAATACTTATGTCGTTAACACAAATGTGCAGTTTATTTTCTGTTTATTTTATCACATCTATCGCGTGATCAAAATTTACAGTTACATAATCGTAGTAGTTTGATGAGTACAGATTACAGAAACAAATACTACTATTAAGTTACTTTAAAAAAAAACTAACTGAAGTTATTTTTTTTTTGTATGTATTTGGAATATATTTATTATGCACAATTATATATTACAGAAAATAAAATTTTTGAATAGCTCATTTGCAATTTTAACATCTTTGTGCCATAACCGCAACGATTACTTCAACTTTATTGCCTGTCTTCAAGCAGCCAATTTTTTTTTTCAGAAAAAAAAATAAGAGAGAATCGTTAACAGTGATGGTTCACATACAAAAACATTGGTTTCAAAAAAAAAAAAAACTTTTTTTTCGAATTTTACACAGCATACTGTAGTTTAGTTTTTAAATTCTGTTTTTATCAGTAAGACTTTTATAGAAGGTTAATAGATGTGTATGTTGGTTGAATAATTGAGTAAATACAATGGTCTACAAGTTTTTTTATAATGCAATATTAATGATATATTTCCTTTCTCTTTTTCCTAGATTTTTTATGTATTTATTCTTTTTTGCTTAATTGGTTTGCTTAGATTTTTTTTTAACTTAATATTATGTTGACAAAATTTTTAAGTTGCATATAAAAGAAAATAGTTAGACAATAAGTTAACTGTGAAATCGTTTGATAATTTTAATTGTCTGAAACAGATCAGACGATTAACATAAAAGTTAATGTAGAAAATAAATAGATTAACATCAGTACCATTGGGTTATGCACCAAAAGGTTGACATAAAACAGGAAATAGCAAACGCACAGATGCTGTTGGAATTTGAGCTCTTCAAAAGGTTTTATGATTCTCGGCTGTGTCTGTCAGAATAATTCATAAATAACTGCCAAAAAAAAAAAAGAAAAAAAAAACCAAATTTTATTTCTTTTTCCTATTATTTACACTTCTAAAATCAAACCGCCTCTTATCTTTTTAGCAGAAAATAGCAGTTTTCTTTTTTTTTTTACTAATCGGAAGAAAACGGAAAATATACCGGAAGAAAAAAATACAGTTCCTAAACCAGTCATTGTATTTCCTAGATAACGTTTTTAAAAATGCAAAAAAAAATTTATGCAGTGTTACAAGAAAGGAATCAAAAATTTTCCAATTATTTCTTTAACAATTTATCAACGTTGTACAATTTGACTGTTGACATGGTTTCTGTGAGTCTCTCTCAGAATCAATTCTGCGCAGCTTGTCTACAGTTGTCGAAAACTGAATCACAACTGTAACGAAAAAGTATAAAAAACAAAAATTTTTAGTCTAGAAAATGGCCTACCGATTAAACACTTTAATGCTCAAAGTTTTTTTTCTCTTTGTCTTTTTTTTCTTTTGCCTACAATTGTTCATTAATCACCCTTACATGCAATTATTATTATCGCTAATCTGACAGGATTTTTAATCAAATATTTTACTGTTATAGTTGTGAACTAATACATAAAAGTTGTTGCTAACCATATTGACATAAAACTGTGCCAAAAGAATGATGAAATTGCAGTTCAGTATTTGGCAGACTAAAATTGCTAAACCAAACTGCAACAGATAAAACAGCAACTTTTTAACAGAAATTGATGAGAAAACCTAACTGTCATTGAACATTGGTTTGTTATGAAAATTAAAAAGCCATGTAACATAGCATTTTTCCATCATTCTTTAACTGCCCAATAGAAAAAAGTTTAAAAAAAAAAGAAAAGAAAAGACTGTTTCACCCTCTTATTTTTTTTTCTATTTTTTTTTTTTTTTTTTTTTTTTTTT